TTTAATTCAACGTTTTTTATTTGGACAAAAAAAAAATACTACGCAATTTAAAATTTCGACGGGTTTGAACGGCCCACCAACGTTCAGACTTGCATGATCGTGTAAACAGCGTCGTTTCTCTTATGTACAAAAGATTCATTATTGTTTATTACTGAATGTCTTTTTGATTTAATTAATGTTTGTGTGCAAAATGAACAATACAATTCATTAATAATACAGTAGAAGTCCAAAAATCCGGACTGCTTGGGGATTGGGTCGGTCCGGATTTTCGGATTTTCCGGATTCTCAGGCAGTACTTTTAAAATTAAAATTTAAGGAGGAATAAAGAAGAGATGAACAGGTACATTTTGACAGTTTATTCATTAGCAAATATAGCATGCTTCATTTATCAAAACGAGCAGTTTTAATGAAAAAGCTGTGAATTCTAGAATTTTATTCTTTGCCTTTTTGATATCATAAATTGTAGACTTTCCAATGTTGTATTTTCCATTAGAACAGTATTGCTCACACCACGTACTAGTTTCTTAATTATTTCAAGTTTGTCACTCAATTTCAATGTGTTCTTCTTTCTCTTCACACAACGAAGTTTATCTACTTTAGGAGCCATTATTATGGGCTTGTACAGTAATCTGTAAATGGAAAGAGTAGGACTCAAAATATTGTTCTATTACAATGGTATTTTATTCATACTGTGCTTGATATAATGCATTCACGGAAATGTAATATTTTTGCTAAAATGACGTACGTATTACAGTGGAAAGTGGGATCAAATCGTGACGAAAACAATGACTTTCGCTTTCTTTCGTTCAAAAGATGTTACCGTAATCGCTTTTCGAATGGTTTAGTTAAAAAACTGTTGTACTGTATTACAATAATATTCTATCCTAATTGACTTGAATAAATACTACGATACCATATTTCTGAATATTTTCATTAAAATCCATCAAAATCATTTTCCTTGTCATCGTCTGCAGCACCTAACAGCTTCTCCCAGTCCTCTCCTTGAACAGGGCTAGAGGGTACGTGTTTTTCGAATCGTTTTCAGTTAAAAAACTAGTACATCACACGTATATTTTACCTAAACTGCACCTGAATGAATATATTCTCGGAAATAAATAGTAGTTTTGCTGAAACGTGATGTATTTCAATGTAAAATAGGATAAAATACATGTCGAAAACAAAAGACTTTACCCAAGCTTCCGATGTTCTAGAGATGTTACTCGTTTTTTAATAGTTTTCGGTTAAAATTCTGTTATATTACAATGATATTCTATTCATACTGTGCTTGATATAATACATTCACGGAAATGTAATATTTTTGCTGAAATTACGTACGTATTAAAGTGGAAAGTGGGATAAAATCGTGGCGAAAACAATGACTTTCGCTTTCTTTCGTTCAAAAGATGTTACCGTAATCGCTTTTCGAATGGTTTAGTTAAAAAACTGTTGTATTACAATAATATTCCCTCCTAATTGACTTGAATAAATACTTGAATGGAAATATACAATATTTTTGTTGAAACTACCCGCATTTCAGTGTAAAGTGTTGTAATAATAAATGGTAAACAATTTGCCTTAGGCACTCGTGTTTCAGTTTATAGGACGTAGAGCGTTTTTACTGAAGGTTTTGTTGTTCGCTTACCCTCAAAAACGTGGGTCGAACTATAAACGAGGAACATCATAAATTAACGATTTCTTGGTCAAAAAATCAGGGTCGACAGATAAACGAGGGGGGGTTATAGATGAGTATATACGGTATGTTGTCACAGTTTGATTGCTCGTTTTAAAGTGGAGACCACGTGGTCGCTTGTTGTCGCTGTGCAGCTGTGGCGCTCACGCATGCGCACATACACACAAAAGCCCGCTAAAAAAAAAATAATAATAATAATTAGTTTTCCAAAAGTCCGGATTCTCGGGTGGTCCGGATTTTTGGCATCCGGATTTTTGGACTTTTACTGTAAGTGGAATATTAAAACACACGAGGAGCCGAGACGGCATTGTTTTCGTTACTGTTTACAAAACCAGTGACTGATTGGTTCTACATATAAAACTGAAGAAAATAAGACCCTGGTTGTAGCTGTAGTAAAATTAATATGGTTGTTTTAAGTGATATTATTTAATGTTAATAAATGGAACAATGGAAGTCGCTAACCATTAATGGTAAAGAAAAAAAGTGAGATAGCGTATGTAAGTGAACACATGTGAAACATATCGTCATTACTCTACATAAGAATATGAAAGTAACACTTACGTATTTACTGTTCATATTTATTTTAATTAATGTTTCTGAATTTAAAACAAAAATTCTACCCACCAGTGGTGGTAAAGTTGAAAACATAAAGACAGCCAATGTTGTTGTGTGTGTTTTTACTCGGATGACAAAGTTGCCAAGTCATCAGGTTCAACTCTAGCTAAAGCTGTAGAACATAAGAATTTTTCTGTGTTGTTTTTAGTTTTTATTTAACTTTATCTGTGTTATTTTCTTTGGTTTACTAGGATGTTGCTTTATTACAGGTAGTAATTCGCCAAAAACGTAGGGTAAATAAGGCCAAATTTAGCCAAACATCGAAAGTAACAGACTCAAATTAATTTTCTCCATGGGCAAACTAAAATCGTTCCGGACCACAGAATGCCAGACTAGAGAGGTAAAACCTGTATAATTAAAAAGTAATAATTTTGATTGAGGCAGATAACGGAAAAGTAGTGTTTTTCTCCTCTCTGGAGAAGGTGTCCCTCATATTTTGTAGAATCTCATAATTCGTAAGGGCTAGAGCCTCTATTATTTTGAATTATGGGGTTTCTACTGTACTGTATATTCAATAAGTGAATAGTGTTTTATACTAATGATCATTACAGTACACCCAGATAATTCACGGATTTTTATTTTGCAGTCCTCTATTATTCGCGAATGGCACCTTGGATGTACCCAAGAATGTCTGGGGGTAATTTTAAAGATGCCGGCATTTTCGCAGCCGGGACAGGGAGACATTCATTCTAGAGACAGTAATTTCCTTTACCTGTATTGTATATATGTGTGTGTGTGTGTAGACACTACACACAAAGCACATACAAATAAATAATACTGTAATGGCAAAATCCTCTCACAAATAATTAGAAGAAATGTATTAAAAATGTTGAGTCTACCCTCAAGTCCACTCCGTGCTTTATTAATAACAAAGCACGAAGTAGACTTGAGGGTAGGCTCAACATTTTTAATACAGTATACGTTTGGTTCTGATTACAGGCGTCCCCCACGTTACGGAAGGGTTCCGTCCCTGGAAAATTGACCGTATCGTGAAATTCCGTAACGCGAAACCTATTTTCCCATTGGCTTCCATTATAAAACTGGAGATGCGTTCCTACGGAATTTTTTTAGGCCCCAAAAACGTAATTCAAGCACTTTTATGAATGAAAATAAACATTTATAAACACACACAATACAGTACATTAAATAATTCATGATATACATGTAATATGAAGAGAAATACAGTTGGAATAAATAAAAATATTGTACTGTACATACCACAAAAGATGTTGATTGTTGCGTGAGGATTGGTGATGAAAAGGAAGTTATTTGGAGGGAGAGGCAATACTCTCTTCTGCCCTGCCCTGTAAATCATCATCTGCTTCATCAACTGCTTTCAGCTTTTCTCTGAGGATGAATAACTCATCCAAAGTTGTTTGACCTTTACGGTGCACCATCTCCTTGTACAGCTTAGTGTAGGAACTGAGATCATTGTTAATTGCTCTTGCAATCTTGATGTTCCATTCACGGTTGGGGTCGTTATCAGCAAAGATTTGCAGACCTTCCTGTATTAGTGCAAACGCTTTAGACATATCCTTTGTTGTCAACTGAAGTGGGGTGGGTGGAGATTCTATATCCTCTTCTTGTCCTGCAGCTCGCTTTTTTTCCAGCATCATCAGATCTTCATTAGTCAAATCTTCTCTATGGGACTCTAGCAACTCAACCACATCATTTTCTATGGCTTCTTCAAAGCCTACATTATTTGCAAGTGTCACAATGTCTTGTTGAACTTGCTGTAGACTTTCAGCTTGTGAAAAACCGTGAAATTCACGGACACACTCTGGCCATATGTTTTTCCATGAACCATTCATAGCTGAGGTTTTCACTTCATCCCATGACTCGGCTATATTATCCACAGCATCCAAGATGTTGAACTTTTTCCAGAAGTCCCTAATTGTAGGTTTATCTTCCCCATCAATTGTTTTTATGAGCTGCAAAAAAGTTTTCCTAAGATATTATGCCTTGAAGTTAGCTATCACACCTTGATCCATTGGCTGGAGCAAGGAAGTTGTGTTCTTGGGGATGTACTCCACTCTCACATTATCAAAAAGATCATTTAAATTTACTGGGTGGCTTGGTGCATTGTCTAAGAGGAGCAATGCCTTATTAGATATGTTACGCCTGGCGACACCACACTTGGCGGTAGCAAACACCAAGAAATCCACACCAAACAAATTATCATTTTGAACAAAAAAATGTAATTTTATATAGTGATTTTTTTTTTTAATTGTTAAAATTTACCCCAATTTCCGTAAGGGCGGATTTACGGGCCGTTACGCGAAATTATTGGTCATAATTTACAAATTCCGTAAGAGCGAAATTCCGTAACCCGGGCTTCCGTAACGCGGGGGATGCCTGTACTGTATTTGTGAGAGTATTTCCTGTTATTATTTATTTGTATGTGTATGCGTTTGTGTGTCTACACACACGCATATATATAGATATATATAAAAAATATAGGTAAAAGAAATAATTGTCCTAAGGGCAAACGCACAAAGGGAATATACATTTCTTTGTAGACAAGTAAAAATGTCCACCCCCCCCCCCCGGTCAAGTCAACAAATGTGTTATTCACGGATTTGGCGATTCGCGGGCATTTTGAAAACCTAACTCCCATGAATTTGGCAGGCTTACTGTATATTGTGTTAGTTAATATCACAGTCAGGTTTAACATTCAGAAATTTACAAATGGCAGGTCGGCGGAGGTATGGCACCAAGCTTTGGAAGACATTCACAGACTGCTTCAATTGTCTTCCCATTGCTGCTATTATTGATGAAAAGATATTCTGCTGCCATGGAGGTTTGAGCCCTGATCTACAGAGCATGGAACAGATCCGCCGCATCATGAGGCCCACTGATGTACCTGACACAGGTTTGTCTAGTTTTAATTTTTTTTTTTGTTAATATTGTTAAATGATTTGCATGTTGCAGTGTTGACTTATCACAGTTTAATTTTTATGATCAAAATACTCAATGGCCCCAGTTGTTAGGTACAGTATTATACCAGTCCAGTATCCAGGAGTGTTTGATATTTTCATGTTTACGCCCCTGGCTAGGGTGCCGCTGCTCCGTATCCCCCACAAATGTAATCATGCAAGTAATCACTCTTAGAGGTATTTAATTTAAGTGTAATCAATCATGTTTGCAATGCAAAGTAAAAGAATGTAATCATTTATGTTTACAATTAATTGAACAAGTACAAATGTTTGTAATGAATCCTTATTACCCCAAGCCTGATGTGTACTGTACACTCAACCATTCAGGTATGAAGTGGATCAAGTTCAGAGATTTATGAGATAAAATTAAACTTTTTACAATTGAAGCCACTTTGAATGATGCGGTTTACAAGGGGGGAGACCTAAATTGTATTTCTTATGTATTTGTAAGTTTTTTAGTTTTATTTATTTCTTTTTTTAAGTGATTCTGTATGGAAAATCAGCCCAAGTACCCCCAGAATTCCAGACCAGGAACACATCCCCCTTTAAAACAGTGTTCCTATTGGAAAATTGGTTTTGCATATTGGAGAGGCGAAACTCTCTGGGATGAATGAGGACTGTCTGTGTCGTGTTCAGAGGAGTTTTGATGAACTGATGATAAAGGTTACATACCATTAACTATAAGGAATTTTGAACATCTGATTATAAAGATATAGCAATACAGTACTAGTAAGATTTTTTCTACATAATAGACACTGTTATAAGTCCTGAGGAATTTTCATTATTAGATGCTAGACTTTGTGTAACCATCAGTCATCCAAGTTTTAACATACTCTTCCCCATGCAGGCCTACTGTGTGACTTACTTTGGTCAGATCCCGATAAGGACGTACAAGGCTGGGGCGAGAACGATCGTGGCGTCTCCTTCACATTTGGAGCCGATGTTGTCAGTAAATTCTTGAACCGCCACGACTTGGATCTAATATGCAGAGCGCATCAAGTAAGAGTGGACAAGTATTTAGTAAATTGTTAACCTTAGGAAGTGTGTGAGTGGGGAGGTTATGATACATGTGGATAGTGTGTTAGTGTAAGAGTCTTGCAGGAGTCACCCAACATCTGTTTGAAGGGGAAAGTAACAAAAAAAAACTGGATACAATTTAATTATTTTGAAAAATTTCCATGTACTGGTGTTAACTAACCATAACAGATTACAGAGTTTCATTGCAATATTCAACATGTTTCTCTACTTATTCGTGGTTATCCCCTACCTCCTACATGTCCCGCTTCACCTACTATTAGTCGCTGTAATGTATTCATCAAGATTAGTTGGGTAAAATAGTCGTCAAAAGTAGTTTAGATATCACTTGCTTGCATCTTTTCTTATTGGGTGAAAGCGAGGCCTTGCTTGTTATGGCTAACTAGTCAGTGGGCTGCAAGTCCTTTTCGAGAGATGGGGGTGTACTACGTATTTGGCAATTCTCACTCGTATCCCCCCCAAAAAATTCAATCTCTCCTCCCATCTCATCCTTAAGTTGTGGGCTGATTTTCAAACTTTTGGTAGTTATAGATAGGTAAGAGAGTGGAAATCATTTTGTTAGACATAACCAACTTCGGGTCCATTACATATTAGGCACAAAGCAGTTATATTTAAAAAAAAATCATTTTAGCCAAATTATTCCCAGTGAACCATTGTGAATACATCAATGAAACAAAAAAGCTTGATTAGCTAGATTGTCCATGCAACATGGTAAAAGTTTCATGCAAATTGGCAAGAAACACTTCATGTAGATACAAGTTAACAAGATTTCATGTCTGGATTTTTTTTTTTTTTTTTTAGTTAACATCCAAACACTATACAGGCACTCCCTGGAATATGAACGCCTGGCTTACGAACATCTGCTGATACGAACAGGGTTAAACTTTAAATTGACAGTATTTTATTTACCTGATGACTTATTTTTTCTTTCATTTACTGTATTTTATCATTCTATTTATTCTTTTCTCATAAGTTAAGCAATTTTAGATGTATATAAGGACTTAGGCTATGATATACACTAAAACCTCGAATAATCGACCCTCGATTAACCGACTTTCGGATTAACCGCCGATCCCGGACCCCTACTTTATTTATTTATTTATTTATTTATTTATTTATTTATTTTATTATTATTTTTTTACGGGTATTAGCCCACCCGGGCACAGGTCACTGACCCACATCAGGGCCTGGGGGGCGAAAATGTAATAATAATAATAATAATAATAATAATAATAATAATAATAATAATAATAATAATAATAAAGAACCATAAAGAAATGCAAAAATTAAAAAAAAATCGAAAGTGAGAAACAATATATGTACAGTATGTTGTGTTGTGTTGTCAATAGTAAGAGAAATAATTGAGACCCTGCAATTGTGTGTAAATGAGGCAGAAAGTCAGATCAGCAACCTGGGACTTGGTCACAATTTTCGTGATGCCATATGTTCTTTGACTTTTCCTTTTTTTTGTTCACGGTTTCTGTGCTGGTTCATATTTATTTACTAAAGAGGTTAATGTTTTAAAGCAAATGCTATTGAAATATGAATGGCAAATGAACAAAAATGAATAGAGGGACTTAAATGAGGTAGGTTAGGGATAGGTACATTGAAAAGGTATGTTATATTTCCGTAGACTTTATTTACTATTAACCGACCTTTTGTATTATTCGTCGGCCCCTTCCCCCCATATTTGGGCGGTTAATCGAGGTTTTACTGTAGTGGGATTTTAAACATTTTTCTGTAAGTACTGTATGCACATAGCATGTGTTTTAACTTGGGTACATTTTCAACTTAAGAATGTCCCCAGGAACGGAACTCGCTCGTAATCTGGGGACTGCCTATACAGTAGAACGTGTCGATATAACACAAGATATGTTCCAAGAGAGGTCGCTTTAAACCGAATTCGCACTAAATCAAAGTGTTGTTTAAATGGAATAATTTAGTTTGGTACTTGAGAGAGAAACAAAATACAGGTAGTCCCCGACTTACGACTGCTTGGACTTACGACCGCCACAGTTGTGACCATTTTTTTTTTTTTTTTTCAAATGACACACGCATTTTCTATACCGAAACGTTTCCAGTTAATGTAGTCTCCATGTATAATTAGAAAATTATGGGGGGCCCCATGTGCATTCAGCTGACTACATTAAAGGTAAGTGCTCAGTCACACTGTATCCATTCCTCATTATTTATTACTTTTACTGTACTGTATTTCACTGTAGATTTTTTATTTAAAAAAAAAAATTTAATTTTTTTTTTTTTTTTTATCTATGTCGGACTTACGACCATTCGGACTTACGACCTGGATTTGGGTCCCTAACCCCGTCGTAAGTCGGGGAGCACCTTTACTAAAAAGACAGAGTCTACCCAGATGCACCTCAGCCCATCTCTTAGAATAAACAAAACATTGTTTTTTGTAGTATTATGTTAAAACAAACACTCATAAATCAACAGCTAAAATTAAGGGATGCAAAATGGTCTGTTTACTGGTTGGTAAGATGGGGGAAAGGGAGGGAGGTGAGGTGATATGTTTGACAGTTGATGCCAAGGTCTAGTGCTTATTTATTTATCTGTCCTTAAGAGTGACTTTAAGTTTTTCTCTTATTTAATGTCACTAAACTGACCTGGGAGATATAATTTATATTCAAATTATTCGCTGTCTTGCAAGGATTCCAGCAATACAAATTATATTCTCCTAGGTTTAGTCTGTGACATTATATAAGATAAAAACTTTAAGCCTAAAACACCAAACCCTGGATGGGAAGATGTGGGGGGAGGGAGGGAGGGAGGGAGGGAGGGAGGGGTGACAGTGACTTGTTTGACAGTTGGCCCTGAAGGTCTAGTGAAGTATTTATTGGTTTATTTATATCCTTGAGATTTAGTTGATGTTTTTTGCTTATTAAATGTCACTGAAGTGACCGGGGAGAATATAATTTACATTGCTGGAATTCTTATGAGATAGTGATTAATTTGAATATAATCTTGCTGTAGTTTGCACTAGACAAAAAATTTAGTAATCATTTAGTACATTATTTTGGGTACATGTACAGTACAGCTTTGCCCTTAAGACAGTGTAGTGTGCCCTGAGAAACATTAGGCTCAAAATTTTAAATATGATGCGCCAGATTGACTTGCGCAAAATAGGAAAGATTAACTTTAAATTATAACTTTGTCCTTAATTGTGGGTGTTGCTTTAAATCTTTAATTTTAAATTGAATCGCTTTAAATCGACATTCTACTGTACAGTGAACCCTCACTTTACGCGGTCAATTGAACCCACGGTGGCCTGCGTAAAGTGAACAACATAACATATGGGATTTATTGAAATAGAGACCGGGCCGACCCCCAAACTCCGCTTTTTCAGACACAATACCTACGTTGTAGTAAAAATAACTTCGTAATTTTATGATGGTATGCACACACAATTAATAATTAAGAGAAATATCAATAATATTAGGTTTTTTAACACTTACATTAGTAGAAAAGATGGCTGGGCACACGGGGATGGGGGGTTGGTTTCGAGGCAGAGGGCAGATTATTGGCCCTCACCTGTATCACTTGTATCAATTGTATCACTATCCACCATAGAGGCTTGCAGGGCCTCTTTGTCAAACCCCTCAAAGACCATATAAGTCCATATCCTCACTATCATTATCACTGACTTGGGCCAGCTGTGGTGGGTGGCAGGTGAAGAACTCGGTAATGTTTTGATGACTGGGCGACCTTGTGCGCACCCTGCTCGCGCCGCTCTCTGCGTAAAAGGGTGCACACACCGCAGAAAGTGAGCATTCCGTGTTCGGCAGGGTACCGCGTCAACGTGGAAACGAGTAAAGTGGGACCGCGTAAAGCGAGGGTTGACTGTACTGTATATACCTACATACCAGTAACCCGTAAATATTTAAGGTAAATATGTCAGTAATGTTGTACACCCTCTACTATCTGCTGGAATATCAGCTTTATATACATTTTCTCAGTCCACTATACCCTCTGGGTCACTCGAAATACCCAAAAATCTGAATTAACCAAGTTCAAAATATTTTTACATTACAGTCGGACCTTAACATACGCGGGGGTTAGGTAACAGAGATACCCGTGAATGTTAAAAATCCGTGTACTTTTGCTGCTGCCCCCAAAAAAAACCCCTGGCCCCCCATGTCCTTATTTACCGTATACACCTGTGTGTAGTTCGAGTTTTTAAGACCAAATTATTTGGCAAAAAATTGGGGGTCGACCTCTAAACGGGTAATAGTTTTGTAAGGTTGAAAAATATTTACCAGTAACTACCAGCAAACAGTGGAAACGACGCACCAACGCACCACCAGCTGTGAGTGTTGGCACAGTTGCCAGGGCAGATCTCTTGCGTCACCATAGCAAGCCCAAAGTAGCCAAATGCATGGTATGGTATGCACAGGACAATGTAAAGCAAAGTATTTTTTTTTAAAGTTTATTTATAGATACTGTACATAAATTTTTGTTCATTACATTTGAAACATCAATCTTTGTTAATTAAATTTGAAACAAAAGAAAACTACGATACCGTATTTCTAAATACCGGGTATTTTCATTAAAATATTACATCACAAGTATATTTTACCTTAACTGTGACTGAATGAATATATTCTCAGAAATAAATATGGAAATGTAATATTTTGGCTGAAATGACGTACATATTACAGTGGAAAGTGGGATAAAATCATGACGAAAACAATGACTTTCGCTTTCTTTCGTTGTTCAAAAGATTTTACCGTAATCGCTTTTCGAATGGTTTTCAGTTAAAAAACTGTTGTACCGTACTGTATTGCAATAATATTCTATCCTATCATTAGCCTCATAATCCCACAACTGAAAACCATTCGAAAAGCGATTACGGTAACATCTTTTGAACGAAAGAAAGCGAAAGTCATTGCTTTCGTCACAATTTTATCCCACTTTCCACTGTAATGCGTACGTCATTTCAGCAAAAA